CGGGGGCTTCCGCACCGGCTCCTGCGGCCGCAGCTTCGGCTACCGCTCCGGCGGCGTGTGCGGGCCCAGCCCCCCCTGCATCACCACCGTGTCGGTCAACGAGAGCCTCCTGGCGCCCCTCAACCTGGAGATCGACCCCAACGCGCAGTGCGTGAAGCACGAGGAGAAGGAGCAGATCAAGTGCCTCAACAGCAGGTTCGCTGCCTTCATCGACAAGGTGGGTGTCCTGGGTCACACCCTTCCTGTACCTGGGATTTCAGGCAGGAGATGAGATTTCCCAGGCCAGTCTCTAGAAATGAGGAATGGAGACCGCCGATATTTTTAATGATGATTTTGGGTGATACTGACCTATAGCATTAAATAACTTTTTTTAAAAAAAGATGACCGGTAAGGGGATCTTAACCCTTGACTTGGTGTTGTCAGCACCACGCTCAGCCAGTGAGCCAACCGGCCATCCCTATATGGGATCCGAACCCATGGCCTTGGTGCTACCAGCACCACACTCTCCCGAGTGAGCCACAGGCTGGCCCCTTAAATAACATTTAAACACCCGATGAGAAAATTCTTGTTCTTTAATGTCTGTCTCAGTCCTTCAGATTAGGTGGAGAAAATCTCATTGGGTGCTAATGTCTTTAGCATCTCTCTAATACTTGCTTCCGCCCCACTTTTAATAAAGGGAGCAAGCCTCAAGTTCAGAGTTGTCTAGGACAATAGTTTCAGCTAGAATTTAATGTTTTGTGATTTCCTTTATGTATGCCTAGTGATATTGGCTTTACAACTATGGTGGTAATATGAAGTTACCCCTTTAACCCTGTAAGTGTAAATGTCAAATGATTCCATTTACAGATATATTGTTAGTAAAATAGAATAAAGGGAAGGCAAAATCCTGATCAGCCTGTGAAGGGTTAATATTGAGAATTGCTGCCACCAGTCCAGATCTTTGAGTGTACACAGAAGAGACAGGAGGCAGGGACAGGGCAAGGAGCCTGCCCAAGGGGCCACAGAGAGTGGGGGCCAGAGCAAGATACCACACCCAGGCTCCTTCAGCTCACCAGACCCCTAGGGCTAGAGGATCTAAAGCTTGGGGCCCCAGCTGCCTCCCTGCTCTCCAGCAGGGGCTGGTCCACCTCAGCAGGCAAGGAGTGGAGTAGGGAATGGATCTTGGCCCAGGCACAGGAGGCCTGAGCTCCACACCCAGTTCCTCCATTGGTTCACTGTGTGGCACTGAGCAGTGGCTTCCCCTCTCCACCCCGCGTTCTTCTCACCAGGGCTGTGTGTGGTGCATCGTGTGAGCCAGGCATGACTTTGAAAGGGAAGATGGGGTCAAGGCAGCTATGAGACCTGTCGCCCAAGACATAAAAATTATTCCATATAATATCAGCAGTCCCCGTTCTCCACTTTGGGCAGTTTTAACCTGGGAGTTCCCAGCTGCTCGTGGAGTTGAATGAAAATGATCCCAGGACCAAAAGGTGGGGAGACATCTCAACTCCAGCTCAGATGTATGAGAACTGGGAAACTGGAGGCCAGGGGACCCAGTCTGTCGTGCTGATGTCCTTGCTGGCCAGCACAGTGTGCTACTGCCATTGTGTCTCTCCAGTTTGAATGAATTCCAGTAAAGGCTTGCATGCCTCACTTCCCTACTGTCCTCACCCTCCCTATTTCCCAAAACCTTCCCTCGTTCACATTACAGGCCTGGCCTCCAGACACATATGACTTAGTGTCCTACATGTGAGTTTAGGCCACCTAGGACCACACTGCACAGTCCCCCGTGCCTCCTCAGGCCCCAGGCATCTGCTTGGTGACAGCCTAACCTATCTGACATCCCCAGCTAGGAAGCTCTTCCCACCCTGAGCAACCATTCAATCAGCTGTTCACCAAGCCCACGCTGGCCACTGAGGACATCAATAAATAAGCCAGAGGCCTGCCCAGAGGGAGCTCATAGTGAAAGGCTTTCTTCTATGCTGTCCCACCCAATACTGCTCCAGGAAGCCTTCCCTGATTATCACTACCCTCCACTCCTACCTGTCCCCCTGCAGCCCAACAGTAAGCCAGCACAACCCCATGCCTCTCAGTCTCTCACACATCCCATCCAGGCCGAGCCCGACAGACCCCCACTCAGGCCAGAAATAGCAATCAGGAAACAAGCTTTCTCCAGGTGCTTCCTCAGGCCAGGCCAGCCCAGCAGAGACCACATCGTCGGCCCCTTCCGTCTGCACACCTCACTGCTAGTTCACTCTGGCTGTTCTGTAAAGAGGGCTGGGGATATTGGCTCCTCCCACAGACATTTCTCCCACTTCCACATCAGGTGCGCTTCCTGGAGCAGCAGAACAAGCTGCTGGAGACCAAGTGGCAGTTCTACCAGAACCGCAAGTGCTGCGAGAGCAACCTGGAGCCGCTGTTTGAGGGCTACATCGAGACACTGAGGCGGGAGGCCGAGTGCGTGGAGGCCGACAGCGGGAGGCTGTCCTCCGAGCTCAACCACGTGCAGGAGGTGCTGGAGGGCTACAAGAAGAAGTGAGTGCAGTCAGAAGGGGGCTTGCAGGGGGCCGGCCCAGTGGCACACTGCTACAGTGCGATGCTTGGGAGCGCAGCGGCGCTCCCGCCGAGGGTTCGGATCCCACATACAGACCGGTTCCC